AGCCTGTTGAGCTGCAGCGAGGGGCGTGGAAGCCTGTTGGGCTGCAGCGAGGGGCGTGGAAGCCTGTTGGGCTGCAGCGGGCGGCGTGGAAGCCTGTTGGGCTGCAGCGGGCAGCGTGGAAGCCTGTTGGGCTGCAGCGGGCGGCGTGGAAGCCTGTTGGGCTGCAGCGGGCGGCGTGGGAGCCTGTTGGGCTGCAGCGGGCGGCATGGGAGCCTGTTGGGCTGCAGCAGACGGCATGGGAGCCTGGGGGGCTGCAGCAGACGGCATGGAGAGCGTCGACCCCTCTGGAGAATTGGAGAGCGTCGACCCCTCTGGAGAATTGGAGAGCGTCGACCCCTCTGGAGAATTGGAGAGCGTCGACCCCTCTGGAGAATTGGAGAGCGTCGACCCCTCTGGAGAATTGGAGAGATGAGGACCCACCTCAGAGGCTGCGTGCAGCGTGGGGTCCACCTCAGGAATGGATGAACTAGGAGTCTTAAGAGTCTTTAATTGGGATAACAAAAAACCATACTCGGGGAGAAAAGAAAGGCCTGGGATAGAAAGTAAAAAATCCTCCATCTGGGTTAAAACTAAATCAAAGGAGGACGGGTTATTTTTAACTGAATTAAAAAGTTCAAAAAGGGCTTGATTAACCTGAAAAATATTTTCAGGGGAAAATGAATGAAAAAAGGGAAAGTGTGAATGAGTGGATGTGGTGACGGGTGCCGCCCCCACCGGAAACCTGGGAGGTGAGGCGGCGGGACACGCCCCCACGGAGTCACACTGAAAACTCTCCGGAGGTACGGCCGGGCTGGGTCGAACAGCCGCAGCGCGGAGTGGCGGTGAGAGGCCGGATTCCACCCCCACAAGGAACCTGGAAGGTGAGGCGACGGAACCCGCCCCTGTTACGTCAACCGGACCGGACTTACCGAACCGAGCAGGAGTGGACCGGAGCTCCCGCGGGACGCTGGATCTCGCCCCCACCGGAAACCTGGGAGGTGAGGCGGCGAACCCTGCTCCCACGAAAACACCGGAACCAGCTCTGAAGTTCTGCTCGGCTGACGAGAACGGCCCGGTCGCTGCAGACTGCCTCTGGAACCGTCCGCCGCGGCGGCAGCGGGACGGTGGATGGACTGAGACGGAGAGGAGCTCGTCCATCACAGCACGAGGAGGGGAAAAAACAAAAATGGGTGAGTGTTGCCGAGTGAGAACCCTGCCCGCTGGGTTCTGTTCTGGTCGGGTCGTACTGTCGTAGTTTGCGGTTAGCAGCGAACCCAGAGTGCAGAACAGGGACTCAACTCGGCAGATATACAAAAAAATATGTTTTAATGGAAAATAAAAGTACAAAATAAACAAGCTGACGGGGCAGCAAAACTTACATGAACAAGGCATGGGGAACTCAGGCGACAAGAGAGACACGGGGAACTCGAGGGACCAGGAAGACTCAGGGAAAGACTCAGGACAAGACTCAGGACAAGATTCAGGAGACCCAAGGGAGAGTACCAA